CCGGTTTGTGCTGATTCCTGTGCCGCGGCAGGAGTGAGCTGCAGAGGAGAAAGCTGCTCGAACGCAGCCACAAACCTCAAACCTGGCGTGGCCAGTGAGCGACTCAAGTCCGAGTTGTCTTGATAGTGGGCTTAACCCCAGTTAGCTGGCGTTAGGTGAACTGAGCAGAGTGACTCTCTCCTTGCTTTTGTTTGGAAGAGGTGGGAATGTTACACCTGCGTCCAGAGACGCGTGTGTTTATTCAGGGATATAAGCTTTCCTCCTCAGGAGCACGTTTTGTGCTTATGTGTGAGTGCTAAGTCTGGCTCTAAAACATTTTTCTCATTTAGTTTTAGCTTGGATAGTTGTGCATGATATGAGCTGTGTGTCATGTTGTAGGAGCTGCTTTCAGTTACTACGGAGGAGGAGTTTCAGAGGGAGCTCTGTAAGAGAGGAGCTTAACCCCTTTTGGAAACTCTGAAGCCCTGTGTTGTCACTGGCTGGTTTATGCTTTGATATTGCCTTACATACATGCTTAAAACTCGTGTTTCCTCTAAGAATTAACGTTTCCCGATTGCTTTATTATATTTATTTATTTATATTATGTTTATTATTATTATTCTTATATTGCTTTAGCCAATAAAACAGCATAAGGATAACTTGATGTTTTGGACAAAACAAAATTGTCCTAAAAATATACTTAGAATACGTGTTTTTAACATTGCTTTAATGATTTATTCTAATGTTTAATGGTTCTTTTTATTTAGTATAATCAGCCCTTCGAAGATGATTTTCTTGTTTCCATGAAAACTCTGACTTACAGTACACATGAAGGTAAGAACTTCTTAAAGCTTCAATATTTGCATGTTGTGTATTTAGACTTAGTAAAGCGTGCAGCTGCTGGCACCTGTGGAACATTTAAGTGCAACAGACACTGAATTTTGTTCACTTAGATATGACATTTCATACATAAACTTTAATGCATACATGTAATGCCTGGAGAGTTTATTTCTATGTGCTGTTTTAGTCCATTGCATGCTCCATTTTAGACAAAAGAGTTATTAGCAAACTTTATGATAAAAGTGGTTAATGCTTGAATGACTTGGAAGAAGAAGAATCAAAATGAAGAAGACTGAGAGGAAGCAAAGGAATGGAGGTACTAGCAGGAATTGCTAACCATGAATGGATTGTGTAGTTTTGTCTTCATTTATTTATCCCCAATACTGCTCTGATAAACTTCTGTTATGCCAAGCATCAGGGACTAGGACATCAGGAGTAGGTAGTCTTTGTGACTTTTCATTGAATGCTCCCATGGGGTTGTCATAAATCTATACCATGTTGGGCCATGTCGTGTTTATCCAGTGTTTCATTGTAATGGTTGATCCATTATAGAGCTATAATGGTTATGGAGAACTTATTGGGGAAAAAACCACCCTGTTGGTCTAATATACATTGCCCAGGGTTTTAGTGGGACTTGTGACTTAGTATGTTGGTGGCTTTCCTGGGAAGGGAAATGTTCTGCCAAGTTTTTAATATCACTGAAATGAGGATTATGATACATACATTGCCATGTCAGTTCTTGTAAAGCAGAACTTACTGGACATACACATGGAGTACTAACACTTTGCATCAACTGGAAAGCTTGCATTTTGTATACAGTGTCCATTGAGAGAGAGAGGAAACATGCATACAGCACTGTGATGGGCACCTTTGGATTTGTAAAGGCCTGGCTATTCAGTTTGGAATAAATAGGGATCTCAGTCCTGTAAAGCCTTAATTATGGCATTAACTAACCTCAGATTCCATGTAGTCTGTGTGCATTAAATAAAATCTAAAAAGTAAAAGTATTTGGGGTTTTTTTTTTCCCCTCTTTGTAACATCTGGGGCTGTAATGCTCTTTGTATTTTAACTCAGCATTGTCAGGCTCAGCATGTGATTTTGTTTTTCCTTGCTTGACTTCCCAGTAAAATTGAAATTGCAATATTCTCTTGGTTTGTTTTTCTCTAAGTTTTTATTTGAGCTGGAGGCTGTTCAGATTTGATAATGTTTTGTTACTATCTAAAATGTTCTTCCTAAATATTTGTGTCTTAGAGGGCTATTCAGTACAGATGGTGTTATAAGAGAAGCTGTGTTTATATTGATATTTCTTATTATTTCTAGGACCAAAAAAATGGGAGAATGTGTCAACCAAGTGTCTTAAAAAATGGAGGAAGGAAATGCTTCAGGTATTTAATAACGTAGTCCTACTATGCAGTCAAATATAGCAACATTACTTTTTATTTATGATTTCTATATACAGGATTACATTCAAGTCTTGCTGTGCCATATAATATTTTTAGGAGATGAATCAATGATGTCAATACCTGCTTTAAAATAGGGTTTTGGGATACTTTGGCTAGGATTGTCAGATGTGATAGACTAAAATAAATGACCATTTATCAGTGGTTAGGATGACTAGTAAACAAGGAAAAAACTTTTTTCATTGCTGTCTGATGGGAATGTGTACTTTGGATCTCATCAGCATGTTGTCATTGAAGTTAATGCATTTAATCAGTTTATCTTGGTTCAAGTAATCAGCTTTTCAGTTCCAAAGAGTTTCTTGGTTTCATTTTTAGAGTCTTATTTTTAATTTTTTTTCCACCTGTAAAATAATGCTAAAGTAGTGAAAGTATCTTTGCAGTCTCACCACTCACTGTGTCAGGCTAAAGCCATTCCTGTTGTGAGGATAAGCTGTATAGTGTGACTTGATAGTTAACAGAGAAACTGTTCTGAACCCCAGAGTGTGAAGGGATAAGGAATGAAATTTGGTCCTGAGGAACAAGAGTGGATTTAATCAAGATAAAAAAGGGCTGCATTTATGATTCCATTTGCTTTCCACTCCTGGCAATATCTTATGTATAATCTACTAAGCATTGCTGCACAACTTTACTGTCTATATCTGTTAAGGGCTGTAAGAGAAATCCTCTGGCTTAGGATCTTGTGTGGGCCAAGGTAGCTATGTCTTATGCTCTTGTAGTGATTTCAGCAGCAATGGTATGAGAAGTGAATGATCAGGTAAGTTTTACTATCTATTTGTGGCTCTTCTGGTCAGGCCATAGAAAACGAGAGAAATTGAATAATTAATTAGGAAGTGTCTGGATTTGGTATATATACAAGAGTAAATAAAGGCAATGGTTAAAATAATTTTGCTATTCTAAGATTCTGACTTTTTTTTTCCTATTCCTAATTACAGCGTAATAGAGGAAGTCAAAGGGACGCAGGTAAAGTGTTTTTAAAAAAGTACTATCCATTATCTTATCCAAAGAGTCTTGACTTAATAGAGAACATTCTGAGTTTGTGATAAACTTTAGGGTGCTTATTAGTTTTTGTGTGGGAAGCCTTCCAATAAACCAACAATATTTACGTTCATAAGGATTGAGAAATGTAAGTTAAAATGTTTAAGGTGAGTAAATACATTACAATTGATGTTGCTGTCATCACAAGTGGATTAAAATAATCCCTCTTTATTAGTGAATCACAGATTTTTGTTGTATTTGTCAGTTTTGTCAGATGTTCTTTGAATCTAGAAATTCCAGCCCTGACTTCTGTGGATGCACAGGTGGAGAAATGTCAATGTTGTTAGCAATTTAACAATAACTAGATAAGTGGGTATATTAAAAAGTATATATTGAAAGAATGTCATGAAGTTGCCTGATGAGTGATCAAAAATTCAGCGGATTATTCTGTATACTGAATGAATCAGGCTGCCTGCAGGAAAAGTATAGTTACTTCATTAGAGATCAAGTATCATGATGGAAGTCAAACAAGACTGCACACCAAAGTGTAATTATACCAAGTAGAGGGGTGTGTGACATCTGAACACTTTCTCTATTCTGAAAAGGAGCTGTATATTCCAATAAAATACATGTTTTTACTGGGGTAAATGATGGGAGGAAATGTTGAGGTGTAGTACAAGGAAGGTATGTTAGGCTTTATTTTCTTAAGGTTTTGAGGTGGGTTTTTGGTATTGCTTATTTTATGACAGTCGTCTGAGAAACTTTTATACTGAATACCAGAGGACTAAACATGGCCCAGTGCCTCTCTCCCTCTACAACCCTACCAAAAAATTTGTCCATACAGTGTTCAGGTACAGACTTTGAATTATCGTGTGAAATTTAGATGTAGATCTAGGAAATAAGGGTGTGGCACAAAAAGATTCAGATGGTCCAGATCTTTAATTGCCCCATCCAGGTGATGCAGCTGAGTAGTGCAAAAAGTAATTGACTCTAATCTTCAGTAAAACTCAGAAAGTAAGTCAGTAATTTTTTTTCCAAAGATACAGTGTTTGAAGTCTTTTAGAAGAAATACTTTGCTAATCTGTGTGTTTTTGCATAGGGTCTGAATGCCTTAGAAGTTCTTAAATAAGAAATTTACATGGGATTTCTTAAATGCTATGTTGTCTTAACCTAATTAATTTTAAATTTAGTGTGCGGCATTACAAATGAGGTAGAGAAGCAGAAAAATTGATAATATATATTTTTCCAACTTTTAATGTAACTCAAGAAAAGTCTTTATTTTAATATGCTTTAAGCTATCCTTGAGAAGAAATACTTAACTAAGTATTGAAGATGGTGAAGAGCTATAGTGTTAACACCTTTTGATATAAGAAAAAAATCTTCACAGATTAATATTTATACATTAGTATTTATATGTGCTCTGAAAGAATCTCATAATTTTGATCAGTTTACAAAAACCCCATCTTGCACTGCTTTTTGGTTTTTTTTAATTTAATTTGAAACACAATGAGTACATTAGTAAACATTTGAACTGGCCAATTGTGTTTGGTGCTTCCCTTTAAAAAAAAAAAAAAAAAAAAAAAAAACAAAACAAAAACCCAACAGCAACAAAAAACCCACAGGCCAAAAGCCCCCAACCAAACATGAAACACTCTAACCCCATTCTGCCTGTGGATTTTTAAAGCTAATGCACAAATTTTACCTATTCATGTTTTATTCTTTTAGGTGGGCCTAATAAGTTTTTTCAATTAAGATATATCAAGTTCTGTGCTATTAAGTGTGAACATGAGACAGTCTTTTTAAGACCCTAATATATATCAGTGATCCTTTCGCTTTGGAATATGCAGTGTTATTTTTTCCAGCTCACAGTTCTGAATTTTGCTAGAATCAAGTTTTAATATCTGAATAGAATCGACAGTACCCCCATGAAGTTTTACCGATTAAAATGACAATCCTTTGAGTGGTGAGTTGTTATTTTTTATATATGGCAGCTGTCAATAAAGGAGGATCGGGTATGTTAAATTTCAGCTTCCAAGAGCAGCAATATTCCTGTCACATATTAGCCACTGAAAATTACTTCTTTCCTTGAGAAATAATTTTTGAAACAAAACACCCTCTGTGTCGTTTAATAGATCTTGGTCAGTAAGGAATTTCAGTTGGACAATACCATGATATTCTCCTTTCCTATGTTCCCAATCCTTATATGCTTGGAAAATGCTTTACTCAGCTTCTGAAAAAATGCAGTTCTAAAGGAAGCATTACTGGAGATTTTTGCAAAATAGTGAACATGAATTTCCAGAGAAGGTTACAAGCTGAAGCCAGAGCCTTCTAGTTAGAGAATATGCTTCATGAACTTTATATGACATAGTTGTTTTATAGCCCAGTTTCCTACTGGCTGGCAAAGGGTGCTTAGAATAGTTATCAATGGTGTGTGTCCAAACTGGAGGGAAATATGAGGGATTTTTTTCTGGTGCAATTCTGTGCAAATTATTAGTTTATACTTAAGTAGATAGCAGAAGAGGGGATTCCAGTTAGGCATGATCACTGGGACAGGTGGTCTCACAAACTGGGGCAAAAAACTCAAGTTAAACTTTGTGTGATTTCATGCAGAGAAGTTCAAAGTAATACTTATTCAGGAATAATTAAATGCAGGAAGAGAGAGTTTTGAAGGCTGGTTGATCCAACCAAGAATATCACCATGCTGAGAAAATAGTGCATGCTGTACTACAAGATATGCACAGGTGCCTAGGATGTAAACCACACAAAACGGGTTTTCTGCACTGCTTAACAGCAGTTAAACCTGGTGGACTACTTTGTGTTTGATAGCAATGTGACTAGCTGAAGTGGGACAGAAAAATGACTAGAGCCACTGGTGGTAGGACATAAATGGAGGCAAAAATAAAATAAAATAATTTTTAAAAAAACAAAACCCAACCAAACAAGAGAGGATAAATATTATAAAAGCTTTTCAAATGTAAACATAAAGAAGTCCTGAAACACCATTCTTGAAGATGAAGTTGCTCTTAAGGATGGGTCAGGCTTCTCCTAGAGGTACATTAGTTACAGTTGTTCCTGCCTTAAAAAGGAAGAAGCAACATATGACATCTTTACGTTCCTTTTTCATGTGGTTTAAGTCTTTGGAAAACTGGAAATCTTTGTGTGTTTTTGTGGCACTATTAAATAATATGAAGTGTTTATAGAGGTAAATTAATACCTATGTGCCTCAGTTAGGTATAAGTTTCTCACCACATAACCAAAAATTAAATGGCTTGTGATATTTGCCATCAGTTTATCTGGAAGGAGAAATGCAGAGGAAAAAAAAAGCAAGGATAACAAATGCTGCATGAAACTGGAACTTGTTTAATGACAATCTTGAGTAGGATAAACATATCTGCTAAAGCACCTGTATTATTTCTGTTATTTAAGTCTGAGTCTATCATGTGCATCCAGACACGTTAAGTCCCACTAGAGCTTTAGTACCATCAGAGTTGTATGTTCAGAGATACAGATCTTTTCTTGGGGGAAAGGTTAAATTTCTGTATTTTATGCAGGATTAACAATAGATTTAGGCATTGAATTTTATATGAACATCATAATCATATACACTGTATACTGATTTGAGAGGCTGTAGCTAGTTATAGACATGGTTTTTCAGATCTCACAAAGCAGTGGTTAGAATATAACTTTATTTAGCAATACCAAAACTTTTCAGTTTGAGTATTTTTAGTGGCAACAGTATCTAGCTTGAAATTGTGAAATAACTTTATGTGGAAATCATATTTATTTAATCATATCTACCTCTCTGTCTAATGTTTAGCTTTTTTTATATCCACCTGAGTTGTGACGGTTGAAGAAGAACAAAGTATAGATTGAAATGTTAAAACAGGAGATCTTGGCTAAATTAGACAGATATTCCAGGCCTTATTTTTTCTGCTTCTTATGAAATAAATGGGAAGGGGGTAAAAAAAGAACAACCCACAGAGATTGTAGGTGGGTCTGTCTGTGCAGGAAGACAGCAGTTTTAGAAGGTCCCCTTGCCAGAAATCATTAAAAGGTGCAATAAAGGTTTGGGTCGCTATCCTCAGGCTTCAGGAGTAGTCTTTCTCTTATCCTTTTCAACATATGCCAAGGAAAATGCACTAAAAGTTTGCACTTCAAGTGATGCCACCTGATAATGGGGTACATCTTATTTTCTGTGGTGCTTCAGGGATTAAGAAGAAAGTAATATGGTAGATGTACATCTAATGTGGTAGATGAACATCTTTGATCCCAATTAGTCTGCTGTAATTGACTAGATGTTGTTCTGGCACTTGTTCTCTGTTTGTTAAATGCTGGTGTTAAATATTTTTGAAAATAAGTAAGGGTATATACAAATGAAGAATTAATGACTTCAGATGCAAGATTGATCTGTGACATATCGAATTGTAATAGAATTATTTTTTCCTCCCATTCATGCTAAGAAGTAGAAAGCCAATGCACCAGTGATTTTGAAGATGGGCATTCAAGAGCGCATGAGGTATGGGCACCATGTTGCATCCATCTGCTTTTACAGAGTGCTCCAGGCCAGGCTGGATGAGGCTTTGAGCTCCCTGGTCTATTGAAAGGTGTCCCTGGCCATCGCATGGGGGTTGGTGCTAATGATCTCTAAGGTCCATTTCAACCCAAACCATTCTATGATTCTGTGAAAGCCTCTTTGGTAAAATGCATTTATCTAGCCAAAAGCTAAGAAATTAAGCATGGGCAGGTGGTCCTGTACTGTGGTATCAGCCACAGGTTTCAGCTGAATTCTACTTTTCAGTTTATTTAAAGGAGAGAGCACAGCTAGATACAGGCTTTTAACCATCAAATGTCTCTTTATTTAGGCAATATGTGTCTAACTCTTTAAATTATTATTTGTAAAATCTCTGTAGTCCAGAATAGCTTCTTTTGACTCCTTATCTTTAGGGAGAAAACATGTAGCATTTGAAGTGATGTGGGCCATCTCACTGTTCACTCACAATAGATGGTAGTTAGAATTGTTGCATTTTATTGATGCCATTTTAACCCACAATAAACTAATTTTATGATTGAACTGGACAGAATAGATGTAGACTTACAATAGTGGAAACTCTGTGGAATATGATGTCAGATGTAGATTGTAAGATTTTATGCAACTATCAAGACTCCTTCAAAAATAAGTGAAAAACCTATTTGAAATAGGTATAGACTTTTTTGCAGTAAAAATTAAGAATTGTTTGAAGTGGGCAGTTAAGAAACTTTCCTTATATGTTGGAACACTGAGAAAATCCCTAGTACATGCTGATAAAGATTTGGTGTTTTGAGTTCATCCGTCAACTGTTTTTTGCTCTTGTTGTATAATAGCTATATTTTGCATTATTGGTCTGAGTATAGAAGAGCTAGGAAGAAAATTGTTTTCCCCATTGAGTACTGAGATGGAATATAGCTTGTGCTACCAGGTATTAAAATTCCTTTCATTTGCTTCTAAGGAATCTCCTAAAAACTCTTCTATGGATGCATCTGATACAGGTGGGGGTTTTAATTTACTGTTTAGCTACCTCTTTTAAAAAACTTTGTAAAAAATATTGCAAGTAACTTTTTCATCGCTTTCTAATATAGTATATAGATTTTCATTCTGGTTTTAGTAATTTCAGAATAGTACGACGAGGCACTGATGTGGTAGGTATCATAACCAAGACTTCTTTCACTCATTGTTTTCCTTTTCAGGGTTATTGTTCTCTCCTTTTTCCCTCCCTGTGGCTAACACAGGGAAATTCAGAAAACAGGGCTTGCAATGCAGGCACGTGTTTTATGTTCATGGAAGGCTGACTTTAGCTAATGATGAATTGGAAGGTCTGGCTACATCTAGCAGAAAATGTTTTGTTGCATTTCATTCACAAAAATATCTATAGAATACCTAAAAATGAGTTAAAAGATTTGGACTTGCTTTTTCATATTCTCAAGTCTGTCTTATTTCTCAGTTTCGTCAGGTCTAAGGCTGTCTTGATGCTAAGAAACTAATAAAAGGAAGTGTGGTAGAAGGTCCTTGCTATCTTTGTTGAGATATTTAGGAATGTAGTGGGAATTAGGCATTAATGAGCAGTGAATCTTGCAGAAAATATTTGACTTGCTGTGAAAGTATTTTACTTTCTGAAATGTTTAACATAAATCTTGAAGACTTGGTTGCTAACAAATTATCTTCACTCTTTGTTCCCCTCAAGTCATTTATGAACCTATAAACTATTCTTTTTGATAGGACTTGAAATGGAAATATAAGACATCCAAAAAGCTTTAGTGTTGAAAACCATTTTCTAAAATGAAACCAGTGTAGTCAATAAGTTAAAGAGTGTGTGTTTAAAAATATTTCTGTTTTGGTTTTGAATTCAACTATATTTAATTTAATATTTATCTTCAAATTGTAGAGGAATCAAGGGATGTCGATGTAGTTTCAGTAAGAAGAAAATTTGAAGGCATTGACCTGCAGGTAAAAATCTCTGGTGTCTAATGTAATGGAATAATTTTGTGTTGAATAGAAATGAGTAATTATTTGAATAGCTTACACATGCCTGGTGAATTGATGCAGTTAGCAGAAGACTCTATGTAGTCAGAATCTTAATGCACATTTTTAGTAAGTATAACAAATGAGAGGTTCAATAAATAATGTCATGAAGACCAATATGAAGTAATATTATTGTCTTGGTAGTATTAGTATGCCACAGAAAGCCATACAATGGATTGCATCAACAAGCAACCCTGAGAGAGGCTATTGTAGGTAAGAAAAAGAATAACCAGATGAATCGTAAAGTGAAAACCTTTATAAAGATCTGATTCTTCACCTGAGAGCCTGATATAAACAGGTAACTTTTTTTTAAAGCAAATCTGAAATAATGGCTGCTATAACAAAAGCAGACCTGGAGTCTTCTGCTGGTGCTTCCCAAACTGGTCACTGCATATCAGGCCTACCCAGAGTGTTCATGTTGATGAGGAAAATTGTAACACAGGCTTTGTGTGTGCAGCTGTTCTAATGCTGTGTTCTGCTTGCCAAATGCCATTACCAAAAATATAATTTACTTTCCTTACTTGTTTGCCATAGTGCTAGTGCCATGTCTTTGACAACAGCATATACAAACTGCTTCAGAAAGCAAGAGTTTCACCAATGAATTGTGATTTATCACAAAATGCTCTTAGATTTTAAATAGAGGTGTGTTACAGGGCAGACCTTATTTTGTATATGAATTTTCATGGGCTATTAAGAAGATAGGTAAAGATTTGCAGCCATAATTACCAGTGCTTTGTAACCTCACTTTTTCCTTTTTTTTCTCCTTTTTTTTTTTTTTAACTTGGGTGTTTTGTTTGTTTATTTTTATCAGTGAGCCTTCTGAGGCAGTGTGTGTTTCTCCCTGAATCAATAAACTAGTTAGCTATCTCTCTTCATATATCTTCACATACAGTTGCTTTTGGCTTTTTTTGGTAGCATAAAATATATGCATTAAAAATAAGTTTATGCTTGTTGGATATCCTCATCCTAATAATGCTGGTTTGCAACAAATGTTATACATCTGGGTTTGTCAGTGCCAATAATTCCTGTGTGTTTTAATAATTATTTTTTTATCTTCCTATAAGAATGTAGGTACTGAAAAATTTGGAGAGTGCACAAAAGTTCGAGTGGATGTGATAGTACAAGATGATGCTAGAAGAATTCCCAAATGGATTTTGGTAACACATTTCTCCTATTCTAAGTTATTAGCTAATTAGATTAAAATAAGAACTCTCTAACTGGGTAGCACAATGAATTCTAATACAACTTCTCTGTGGTCCCATCATTGTTCCTCTCCTGCTTGCTGTCTGTGTAAATATCACAGTGTCTCAGGTTTCTGACAGCAGTAATTTGCAAGAAACAGAGCAGTTGATTTAGAAAAAGTTACTTCTTTTTACTTTGTTCTTTGAACACTGGTGTGAGAGTTGGTCTTCAGCAAGTTTTCTGAAAAATCTAAATTTAATGTTTGTAGAGAAAAGAAATTGGTTTTGCTTTTGGGTGTGAGGTTTTGGAGGTGAAGTGTTGTGTTACATGGTAGAGCTTCTGTTTCCTACTGGAGTTGCCAGAGATATATAGATTATCCAGGTGTATATATGTCCATGGATAAATTCTTGTATTTGGGAAAGGGATTAATATAAGATGCATTATGTATAAGTAAAATAATAAGTTGTAAAACAATGATAAATAGCTTCCCAAGGTTTAACTGGTAACTCTTAAAAATTCTTACTGAAGTCTCGGACTACATTTTTTCCACTTCATCTGAACTTGACTAAGCCCCTTAGGACCATAACTGTGCAGAACCTAGTGTAGTAAGGAGAGAGTAGGAGGAATTACAAGTAAGGTTTTGATGTTACCTTTAACATGCAGAAAAATCAGAATATTAGATTGTCTTTCTTTTCTTTGTTTCAGGTCGCACCTCCAGGTTTGTGGCAAAGTCTTCATTTGGCTTCACCAGTGCAAGAACTGATTAGTGCAACTGCATCTTTTGGATGTTGGTTAAATACATTAGTTAGAAAATGGGATTTTACTAAAGTTTATTAGAAAAAAATTAATTTCTTGTAAATACAGAGGCATTGTTTATCCAACAGGAAAGTTCAATAAGCTGGATTTTGAAGGGAGGTTTGATAGGATTTTGCTTAAGGCAAAATATATTTGGAAAACAGAAAATTAATAACTATTATACCTAAAACCAGCTTTTCTTAAATAGCTCCAGGAAAAAAAAAAATCATAGTTGCAAAATTCAGCAGCATTTAGCTCAATGAAATAAAAGTATAATTATTTAATTCTGCTTATTTTAAGCTCAGGGAATGTAATGGAATGGCTTTGAGTCTGCTGTTAACTGGTACTCAGAGTGGTACTTTGCTAGCAAACTTTGTTTATAAGCTTTCCAGACCTGATGCAAACGTAAGAGAGAGATTTTGGTGTCAATATTTCAAGCCTAATAACTACAAAAGGGATTACCTTTGTCATGGTTTGTGGTAAGCAAAGCTGCACTGGTACTAGCCAAGGACAAAGCTTTCAGGTAACATGGAAATAGAGTAACAAAAGGTGTTGAATAATGCTGTTCCTCCTGATCAGAAATCACAAAAGACAAGGAAGTCTTCTACGAGGAAATTTTTTTATATCCATATATTATGCTACTTTAAAATAGATTGGGGTTTTTTTCCCATCACATTTTACTTCTGTCTTCTGCAGTCCGTTAATTCCATACGGTCAGGAAAAGCTTAATGAAATATGCTATTGCAGTAAGACTGTACAATATGCAGTTGTTTCTAAGTTATATACTACATAGCTGGAAGTGCCCTGATAGGTTTGGAATTTTTTCGTCCTTCTGCTTTTGTTTTGTGATTAATTTCAGTTTTTTTGAACAGGTAATCGAGCCACTGTTTGCAGAAACAAAATGTTGTCAAATGAATGTTCTTCATCCCGATCTCTACAGTTAAAATATTCTGGTGTTCCCAGTTCATCACATAAAATAACCATACCCAGACATAAACCCTCTCCAGAGCTGAAGAAAACTTGCAGTATCCTCACAGAATACCAGTCTGCAGATGAGGAATGCTCCTGGAGCAATATAACGATTGCAGACTTATATCCAGCGATGGTTGAGACACTTGGAAGGCTCATGGTAAAGGAGTATCAGAGAAGAGAGTTAAAATGCATGTTTGGGCACTTAAGGTCCAAGAGATGGCATTATGGAAGACCCAAGTTCAATATGACTGTATACAAAATAGGAAAGTTCAGACATTATAAACCAAAGAAAGCACTAGTCAGCATATGCAGCAGTGGAGTTGCAGACAAGCAGAATCCGACTTTGGGAAATGAAAGTGGAGAAGTTTGTTGTGGCAGTTGTCTCATTAATAAGTCATCCAGTCTAGTACCTTATACTGATACAAGTGAAATCATAGTGGACTGCTCTGACTCAAGTTTAGAACACAAATTGGTATCTGGAAAAGGCAAACAAGTCTCCAAACAGACTGTTTTTCCTAATGATGCAACTAGAATGGGAGAGAGATTTCTAGTTGAAGGTGAGTTACAGACTACTGCCTCACTGAAGAATTTGGAATGCACAGGAAGTGAAAAATTGGCTTGCCAGTCTTCAGAATACCGTCGTAGAATATCTGTTGCCTCTTCAGAGTCAACAGCGCTTCATCTTGGGAAAAATAAGCCTCAGAAAACTGGCTTTTCTTCTGGTGATACCTCAGAGTTGTGTTCCTCTGCTTACAGTTCTTGTGGCAGTAGTAACACTCACCAACTTAGCACAAGCTCTTCTTTTGCAAGAACATCGAATTCTTCACCCATGAAGCCTGAAAAAATAATTCCTGCAAGACAAATTTCCTCCCAGCCTAGGCACTCACTTTCCTCACTGTTTGTGGAATGGAATCCTTCAGAGGTGCCCCAGAAATACAAAGATGATTTTGACAAACTCTACCATGAACTCTGTTGCAAAGAAATCCAAAAGCCTCTGACATGGACAGAACCTTCTCCAAACTCAAAGAACCTTGAAGAGAAAGGAAGATTAGTGAACTGTAATTTAAATGATTCTGTGAGGTCAAGTGCACAGATTGACAGAGATTTTGACAGGCTCTATGAGAAATTGTGTAGTGAGGCTGCTCCAAAACTTCCTAGTTTTCAGAGGAAATGTGAAGGAACACAGATGTCTGAAACTGTAAATGCTCTTGTTAACTCACCTGTTCAAATGCCATTTACATTTCCCAGAGTTAAAAGACTAGAAAGTTTTCCAAGTGATCATCTTTGTTCACCAGTAAAGCGGCTGAAACATACACCAGAAAGTTATTTTTCTTCAGCAAAATGTCAACAGATCTCTCACCACTGCTTTGAAGATCACAGCTGTCAGTGTCAGGTACTTAAGGACATTGTTAAAAAAAAAAATACATATATAAAAATTGTGTACTCTTAGATATTTGGTGAAAGGCTTAAAAATGGATTAGAGCTGCAAGCTGTTTGAACTGGTGATAACATACTTCTGGTGCTGTTTGGCCAGAAGAGGTATTTTACAGATTTGGGGTTTTGGGGATATTTATTTGTTAAAATATAAGCTGTATGATGTCTCCTAGATCATGCGAGGAAGCTCACTATATTTAATAAGCTTGAAAGTGATTTTTAAAATGCTCAGTGAAATTTTTTGTTCCATTTCAATAGATAATTTCACCAGTAATTGAGGTCATTATTTGAGCTTACTTTAATTAAGGTGCTGTCCTTCTGAAATGATGACAGTTTATTACTTTTATAGGTAGACCAAGTGAGGCAAACAAATTAAGCTTTACTGAGTTTTACAGGAATCATCAAATTTCTTGTTTTAAATATTAAATCAGACTCTTTCCAGGTTCACAGTCATTTCTTCTGAGACAAGCTGTGAAATAATAGGTTTTCTCATCCATGCTATCTGTTGACACTTTATTTTCAGGACTCTGGATTTCATGCTGCTTCAGGTGAATGTCTTGGTATTCCTGGTACTTCCCTGCAAGGTTAGTTTCAGAGACTTTATGAATTTATTACTTAAGTAATTACCAGCACTTCTTCACATAGTAACTCTACAGATCTCAACAGATCACTGTCTAGGTGGCAGCAGTTCTTCCTGAGTAATAATTGTGTATGCTTAAGTGTTTCTTTAAGTAAGGAATCTATACAGAAAAGGGTTTCCTGAATCACATGTTAACAATTATTTAAGAAGCCTTTTTTTTAGATTAGCTAGGACTATTCCTACTAAAGTGTTGCTTATTATCTGCTTGTTTTCTCTCCTCCTGTTTTGTATTTTACTTAAAGCTCACTATTACTTTCTATATCTAAATGTTCAGTAGGAAATGCATAGTTTGTTAATCCTACACTGGAATAATCAAGTGCTTTTGGTTTCTTCATATTTACAAAAACTTGGAGTTGTTCATGGCTACTGCCACTTTCTTAGGTCAGTTAGATTGTTAATCTGGATAAAGACTTTTGCCAATTCAGGGTAGAAGAATTTTATTATTTAAAAACTACATTAGTTTAAGATTTTTAAATGCTAATGTTTTGATTTCCTTTCTAAAATCTGATTTTGGTAAAAGTATGAAAGTAACATAATCTAAATATTTTCTGGAAAGTAAAATTACCAATATTTACTTTCCATATTTTATTTTTATTAATCTTGTTATCAGATAACTAACACATAAAGAACTATATAGAAGGTGACTTGAAATACTGTCAACTGGTATACAAGTAGAAAATGGCAGAAGAAATAGACTTGTTTGCATGGTTTCTGCCTTGTTGCATTTTCATTACTGATTAATTGTAAAGAATTTGATTATTTGTGGTTGATTTATCCCATCTGTCTTACTTTGCTTTCCTCAAATTTTAACTCGTATTTTATGCATTACATTTTTTTCCTAATATTGAGCAGTTTCTTCTCCCTTTTTCTAATGGTGATAAATTAGCATTTTGAAGAAATTTAAATATGTTCAGTGTATAAAATGTATTCGAGATGAAGTTTTGTCAGAACCTTTTGCATATGAATATATTCATAAAGAAATTTTCTCATTGATGTATGCTAATGAAGTATTCCCAGTGTCTTAATATGCTGATATTTTAATAACATACTGTAGTGTTCATGCTACTTAGCATTGGTCTTGCCTTTTTCATACTACTGGTTTTCATCACCAGGGTCTGGGATCGCTTGTCCTAGGGCAGTGGACAACTGTAGCTCTCCCAGAAATGCACAGAATGGTCACCGAAGGTAAGAGCCTCTTGAAAACAAATTTCTAAATAATTATTTGCTGCTCTACATCCATATTAAAGGTATGGAGGTTACATACATGCTTCTAGAAAATCAGTATGGGAGAGCCCAAGCTAATCAAACCTGCAGACCTGAGGCAAGTGCCTGTGGACAAAACCAGCCAGACTCCAGCATGGATGGCTGGTGAGCACAAGTCAGTAAGATGGTTACTGTACTCCTTATTTGGTGTTCATTACGGAGGCATTTATTATTTTAGATAGACTATAGAATTGTTTTGGTTTTGGATGTGTTTGAACAAACAAGTCCTCTCAGATCCTTAGGCTGTGGAGAGTGCAGTATATTGCCACTTAGAGGTCTTTCAGAAGTTAGCCTCAGTGCAGTTGGGCATGGTTACCTGCAGTTTGGCTCTGTGTAAACCAGAAGTGAGATCCTCTCCTCCTGCTGTTCCCACTAGTGGCAGTGTATTTAGATCTCTGGAAAGAGAACACTCCTTCCAGCTCCCTGAACACTGGCCTACTACATCTGTTTTTCTTAGAAAACCTGTAGCTTTTAAAGGACTATCAAGCTTCAGATCCCTTGGATTTTTAATTACAAACGCTTAATAGTCAACAGGATATAAAAACCATTAAAAGTTCTCTAAACAGTTTCTCAGTTTATTTTCCAAAATATTTTTGATGTGCTTTTTTGCCAAAAAAGTCTAATTTGGCACCACAAGATATGCTGGCTTCCCAAACTCAAGCAAGAAATATTTTCACTATGCTTGAGATGAGCATACAGCTGATACCAAAATTTTCTGGCGATGTTTGAATTGAACTTCAAAGGAAGGCTGAAAGCATTTTGTAAACTACCTGTATGGAGAACTTAACCAGAAAAGAGGCTTCATGATTTAAAGAAAAAAGTCTCCGTTCAAGCAAAGATGGAATTAAAACTTAGTGGCTTGTATTACAAATTCATGCAATATTGATAAAGATTGTATTTGGATTATTTCTGATATAATGGAAGATTGCAGACAAGCAGATGTTTTAGTGATGTTGAATATGCTCACTTAGCTGAGTAAAGTTCTGCTCAGTTCTTGGGTTTCATTTTTTTCTCTCACTAATTTTTCCTGGCTCCATGTAAAATAGCCCTCCCTATAAGATTAGTTATTGTTCTAAAGGAAAAGATTTTCCTTTCCTTAATGGATGTAAGTAGAGAAATCAGGATTTCACAGTGTTTTCTTGCCAGACCATCTGGAATAAAATCTGTTTCTTTGTTCCTTAATTACACAAATAGTTGCTTACTGATTTGTAGCCAAAATGGACTGTCAGCTGGCAACTTTCCTCAGGCCTGTGGTGTGATATTTTTAGCTCAGTAGTGAAGCTGCTCTTCAGTGACTTCAGAGCCCTCAGAAGTTTTATGCCTAAGCCATGTGGCAAAAGTGATGTACATTGTTATAAACAGTTGTGGAAAGAAAAGGAATATTGTCTTTCTGTCTGGAACTAGATTGCCTTTATCTAGAAGATGATTGTGAAAGAGATTTCAGAAAAGGAAATGTTCATAACTAATGAACCTTTCTTCAGCTCTGTGTAAACACTGTCCTGCAGCTGTACTGACATAGTTACGGTCAGAAGAAAACCAAATTATTTTAAAATAGATGACAGAAACACTTAGACAATTTCTTAAGTAATATGCAAGGAAATATTTGTGTTCTCATTTGTGTCTAATTTTTAGCTATTTGTGCACCTTGACGTTTAATAGATATCTATATCTTAGGCTGATGTAGTAGCACTACTGAGACATCAAAATGACGTGAAAAGTTTCCTCTCCATCTAAAGCACATAGGAGTGCAAGCAGCTCATAGTCCTGCAGCTGCTCATAGTCAAGATGTTCAGAGATCTTGCTTTGGCAGTTGGTTTCAATTTCATTCTGTTCATGGGAGTTTCAGCAAACATAGTCTTTTTGTGTAATTTACTTCTTCATCTAAACAGGTTGGTTGGGTTTTTTTCCATAGGGTATACAGAAAACTGAGTTACACTGATAAAGACTAAAAATCCCAGCAAGTCCTTGGATGACTTCTTGATCAAAACACACCAAGGAGAATTCACGGACTGCTGTGAACAAAACATGTTTTTGTGAAGTTTCGTGTTTATTTGGTTATCTTTCTTCTTCCGAGGTTCAAGGTTATACTATTGTATGTGTACCAAGGTAATTAACAAGCTCTTTGAGCTAAATTTTGTTCATTCATGTTTTACAGGATGCATTAGTACAGATACTAAGGAGTCTTATACACCATGACTTGGGTCTGCTATGCAATTGTAATATTAAAGTTTTCTAAGTTCACCAAAGTTGATTGTTCAATAAAGTTAGTTTTAATATGTTTGATAGTTACACTCTGTTCTGACAAAATTCTACCTGACACAATATGTAAGTTCCAAATAAAAAGCTGTCCTAAAGAAATACTTGCTTTAAATGGTTTTATTTCATTTATTTCATTTTTATTTATGAGTTCTCAGGAGGAGTTTGTATACCTACAGCAAATGCCTGAGAATGATGTGTCAGGGTCCCACTGGTTTTCATTGCTGTGGCCTTTCTTGGCAAGGAGATTGTGTTACTGGTTAGTGTCAGGTCAAGTACTTTGTTTTATCAGCATTGCCCCTTGTCAGCTTTCCATGCTCCAGAGAAGGAAAAAATTAGTTTTCTTTGTTTTATGTTACTTTGGCTTTTAAAATCAAGATCTTTTTATCTTAAGATATCTTGTTTTGAATGGGACAAGAACGCAACTTCAGTGAGGCTTTTTCTGCAGGAAGAATTTCCACAACGTGCACACACATTCTATCCCTCCTAATCTGGATATTATGTTTCCTTCAACGATAGCAACAGATACACGATTATTTTTAAAGTTTGATCCTTCAACATCCATTTGAGTCATCAGACTCCTAGAAGTATAATACGATCAAAAGGTTGTGTTGATTTTACTAACAACATTGTTTAAATAGGTGCAGCCACAGTGACTGTCAAATGCTATTAATGACTACTGGAGTACATCTGTCTTGACTTACAAAGATTTCATGGTGCTACCTGATCTCGCTTGTGTTTTGAGCTCCATTCTTCTTCCCTTTCAAATAGTTTTGCTTCTTCAGTTGAACTTTAATGCTAAGCTTACTATTAATAAAAACAGCTTTACACTGCTGCCCTGTGCTTCAGATATTTTTGTAAGGAGCACTGAAAAAACAGATGAGGTTGCTGAGACAGTATAAACCTAGACCTACCACATTATTTTGTTGTAATTAGTTGAAACTTGCTATATACATAATTTGACTAGTATATAATAGTTTATGTAGGGTTTTTTTCTAGTGACTTGAAGATGGAGCAATATTGAACATGCTCTTTCATGTAAGAATTCAGTAGTCACTTGAAAACTATCCCAACAGTCGTTAAAAAAATAGGTCATTCAGTTGCTTATTTAAGCAAATGGAGAGTAAAGAGCTGAAGGAATAAAGCTAAATCTGAATGTGACAGCATTAGAAGTGCCTTGGAAACAATTGATAAGCCACTAAAGATCATCCTGAAGTGTGTAGTGTCTTAGAACAGCAGTCAATAATATAATGGAAGCAGTGATTAAATGTGGAAAGTATATATTGAAGGAAAATATAAAAGTGCCCTGCTCTTTTAACAAGCTACATTGCAAGGGAAAGCAGCTGATGAAAACTGGCATAAATACATAGCTGGACTAAACAACAAAGGCTGAGAATATAGAGGAAACTAAATGGACCTAAATCACCTTAAGTGGATTTATTGTTACATATACACTCAATGAGAGAAGTGTGTACTTCATTTCTGTTAATTCAACAATCAGATTGAAATGACAGGTTGAATTTAGGTAACTCATGTAAGTTCTTTGACTTTTAAATTTTTAGAAAAAAATCATAAGAGTACAAATTCTGAGAGAAAATTAGGAAATAGCAACTTTTGTACAAAGCATACACAAATTATGTTGAAAGTATAGCACCCATTGTTTCATGTATGTAAAATTGTTACAAATAGACTCTTGGGCCTATGCTTACTTGCTTGAGAGATGGTTTAAGAAATCTTTTTCTTTTATTTATCCCAGAGGTCTGAATATTGCATCTGCTTGGTGCCAGCAAAGTTGAAATATTTTATGCAAGTATTTTACATATTAATGTCATTCAAGCAATTTTGATATGTGAGACTAAGCAAGACTATGCTGATATGTATTATTAGTATATTAATAATAATATTTATTATTAGCTTATAAAATTAGCTTATTTAGTTCCTACTATGAAACAAAGTATAATTCTTTCCAGTCTAATCTAATTAACTTAGTGCTTCATGTACTGATACCCTGATGTTTAGCTTAGGATCTTTGGCTTTGGGTTTGTCTTCTTCCTTATCCCACTTAGGGTCATTGTTTAGTATGGTTCTCCATTAAAGTGTTTTTTATAGATTCTTCAACAGTATTTATTTTTTCCCTATTGAGTGGTAGCTGGTGCAAGACCATGATATCACAGTTACTTCCCTTCCAAGTCCATGTTGTTTCTGGGATATAACAGCCAAACATACTGACTTGATTTCTGCACACAAAAGCAAGTGCTAGCACAAGAAGGCAGTGGCACTTTGGCTGCAGGAGTTGGCCCCTTTTCATCTAACATGGAAGTCAGCAGGTTATATAAAATCGTTAACTATGAACTAAACTAAGCATTAGCCAGGCTGTCACAGAACTATTTCTTTTGTATTGATTTTTTTTTTCCCTTCATGAATTTGTCTCATCTTTGGATGTGTCGATCCACTTCTGCTTTTAGAAGTGATGTTGGCTCTCTTTACTATAGACCTTTTGTTGGTTTTCAGGGCTATCTCCTTCAAGACCTGAAACACATGCAGGGCTCTATGTGCTTGAGATTTTTAAGCCCCTTGACGCTGTGCTCTGTGTGGATTTTAAAGGCACCAATATCCTTTTTTTTGAGAAGGCAGCACTGTCATAACCTAAAGGTAGGTTATGACATAGACATGCCTTACTGTTTCCTGCTACAACTACTTAATGGCTCCCAGAATATAAAATTAGATCCCCACTCTATAAAACTTGCCATTTAATGAGTTTAAAGTTTTAAGATGAATGTGCACACAGTAAGTGACTTTTTTGGGGAAATGAAAAGCTATTTCTGCTTTTGTAAAATAGTAAGAATGGCAATGTAAAACCCAATAGGAATGCAAACAAAACATAGAGTATTAGAAGGAAGAAATCCTCATTGGGAGATTTATTGTTACAAATAATTTGATAATCTTTGTGGGCCCTTTAATATGACTGGATACAATATTATATTAGTAGAGGAGTTGAGATTTCAGGTGTATTCTGGTATTGATCACAAAGAAATCAAATATATATAAAGATACTGCTAAATCTTGTAAGATATACAATTATTCCTTTAAACAAGCTGTTAAATTTTTCTCCAATTATCTTTAGATAGATTTTGTTGTTACCATAGACCAGTCACAGTGGGAAGGTACACAGTGTGGAAGAGCAGATCAGTTCTTAATTGGCGAAGCAACTAAATCAGTGTGCAAGTATGAAACGCTTATTTCTTTTCAAAAGTATTGTTAAAACCCATATAGAATAGCTGTACTCTGCCAGAACTCTGCAGACAACGAGTGGGTCTTTGGGGACTGCTTGAAAGCAGATGGTTGTTTAAAACACAGGATTAATTTTTACTGGAACCAATACCATCTGAATGCTAACATACCAGCCTCTACACCTCTTTCAAACAGTCTTCAGAAGGGTAGATCATCCTACATGGCAGTCTGGATCTATGCTTATTTCTTGCTTAGTCTGTAAATAAGCTTGGAAGACACTTTGGGAACACTTACCCATTTTATACCATTGTTTGGTATGTCAGTTTGCCAGGATATTATCTCTAATCTTTCACTGTTCCTCCAGAATGAAAAAGCAGATCTCACTTTATGATTACATATTTGGTTCATGAAGCCACTTCAGGCATTCTCTCCTTTTGTAGTATGAATCAAACCCATTAATCTGATGGGATCATCATGAATGGCTTCTACTGTTGCTGTGTTTTCTGCAGCCAGCTGCTCACTATTGAGGTAAATGCTAACGTTGGAAGCCATGGGGGTGGGGTTTGGTGATCTTTCTTCATCTTCCTCTAATGAAGGATCTTTCTTTCTCCTTGGCTTTCTGCATTTTCCCTTGGCACTGTGATCAAGCGAGGCATAGCACATCTGACTGGCAGACTCCACCTAAAAGGAAATGCACTTTAACATTCTGTAGTTATCCTTGCTTTCAAATTATATGTAAGGCTGAGTATGTCTACGTTGTAATCATAATAGTAGCTGAAGTTTGCCCAAACTGGCTGTAAAGCAACTCATTAAAAGTACTAATAATTAAGCTGTGGGAGCAGAGAAAACAGATCAACTTAACCCGATGGTAGATAGTGACAGTAAGGAAAAATTCATCAAGGTATCATTGGCAAGATTCTCTGTGGGAAGGAGGGTAGCTTATGTAATCAATCCCAGTTCTTTGGGATGCAAGACATTATTTGATCTCATTTTCTTCTCACATTTTTTTTTAGCTGGAATCCAGTTATTAGCAACATTATTTATGGGTTTTGTCTGCACAGAAAAGCAAAGATAGATGATTCTTGTCCATATATATGATTTCATCTCCAGTGCAAAATGTATGAGGTTTGTGTCTTCTCTCTGCTTTTCTGATTTTCAAACCAAGCAGTCAACATTGACATTGGAATTTTCATAAATTAGTTTGTGTTCATGAAGTTAATGAAAACAAATGTCTAGATTTAAAAATAGGTATTTTTACTTGTTGGAAATGCCCTGAGAGAGACGCTGGAAATTGGTCCTTATGAAATTCATGGAAAGCAACGACACTTACAGGTATCTCAACAAAACAGAACTCAATAGAAATCAATCTTTTACTTGTTAAGGCATATAGACTTTGTGCTGGTCAGGAGAGAGCCAGTCAAACTCATGAGTATCATGTGATGCAGCTTGTGTTGTCACTTGGTTGATATAAAAAAATAAAGGCATATATTGTCATGGGATAAACACAGAAACTCTGAGACAGACCACATTACCGTAATTCAGAAATCCAGAATCAAAATTAAGGATACCTGTAGTTGGTTAACTGGCCTTTGAGGCTGGGACTTCATCTGCTCGTAGCAACATTCTTCTGTAATTTATCAAAGTAGAAAAATGTTTCAGTTAATAAGACACATTAATGAGTCTTGAAAGATCAGACCAACAGATCTCTCTGTTTCTTCAGTTGAAGTTTGTTGAGTTCTTAAATCACACAAAGATTGCTCTCTCTACTTATGGAGAGGCAAATAGCTAAGAAATTCACACACACTGAAAATGAAAATAATTTTCTGTTCAAATTGCTGGGAAGTTTCTCATCATTCACTAAGTGGGTATCATTTTAGAGTGCTAGGAGGACTTTTGCAATTAAAAGGTAACCACATACTCATGTATTTTTCAGCATAGGCAGCTTTTTCTTTGGCTGAGAAAGAGGCTGTAAGTTGCAGCAGATGGTGATTAAATTCTCTTCCTGAATCTACTTCCAGTTTTCCATAAATTTGGTGCAAGTCATTTTCTCATTTCATATCTTATTTTAGCCATCAGTATAACAGATTACTTCCTTACAGTTTTCAGACTTTTACAGTGTGAATGCATTTCAGCGCTGACTTAGTTAAATTTATGCAAACCATGTGTGAAAAAGTTAGGGTTGTTTGGTGGGGTTTTGCCCTGCAGATCTAGTACTTTAGTTTTGCTTGACCCCAAATAAGGCTTGCAAAAAAGTTGTGTTCATGTTACTTAAATACTCCTTTAACACCATAAGGGCTTCAAGAGACAAATCTGCACATCCAGCTCTAGCTGCAGTTAGATGATGTTACTGCCTTTAATGTGGTATCTTTCTGACAAGGATTATTAACTTCAGTCCAGTAAAGCAAAGCAAAGCTCTCTGCCCACCATTCAGCCACTGGGCTTCAGCATATTTGTCAATCCTGATGATGATCTGTGGATAGCTACAGCAGAGAGCTGATATGTGTTTGTTTCTGCCACTTCTGTGAGAGCACTGAGCTTCGACCACGAGTCATACATCTTTTAAATTGCTTTAACACATGTGGATCAAGCTGTTATTTCAATTGGTGCAGCTTTACATGTAGACAAGCTCTTTGTTTTGAGATACTTGGCTGAACAGGATCATTTGGACTGTAAAAAAATCAAAGTCAGTAGGAGATCTGTTCTTACAAATAGTAGTACAGTATGATGGTTTGCATTTCTATCCCAAGCAGGTGTTAATACTTTTAATTATATTGATATTTGAAAAGATGTAGATTCTCGAGTTTGCTATTTGAGAAATGCAAAATGTGTAGGTCAGTCAGGTTTTAATCACACATTTATTATAGCTTCTGAATAGATACATGTTCTTAAAATGAAGCTTACCTAAAATATCTTGATTGAGATTGCCATAAACTGGGTAATCGTCTGTGTGATAGTCACCATAGCTAGAAGGAGAATGGAAAAATACTTTATTCATAGGATATGCTTTATTTAGGACCCCACTGTTCTACTCCAATAAACATTTTATGCATATGAAGCAATATGCATATTGTGTATATAAATACCAATATCAGATTGTATGTGATCTCATAAGATGACCAAAAAAACATTGGGGGGGTAGAAATGGCAATGTGTGTATTCTGTAGAGACTCTTGTTTTGGGGGGGCAGAAATGGCCATGTGTGTATTCTGTAGAGACTCTTGTTATTTAGCCACGGATTGAACTCTTCTTTCCTGTAACTTAGTGAAGTATAAAGCTAATCTTAAGGCTACTAAGCCACTGTTTGATGTATGTCTAGAAATATTAATGGTCACTGAAAGGAACTCAGTTTCATGTCCTCCGAGACCACTCTGCAATACAAATTAACAGAAATGGCCATGTGTGTATTCTGTAGAGACTCTTGTTATTTAGCCACGGATTGAACTCTTCTTTCCTGTAACTTAGTGAAGTATAAAGCTAATCTTAAGGCTACTAAGCCACTGTTTGATGTATGTCTAGAAATATTAATGGTCACTGAAAGGAACTCAGTTTCATGTCCTCCGAGACCACTCTGCAATACAAATTAAAGCACTACATATCCCTTTTTGGTATGATGTTCTTAAAAGTTCTGCTCTTGATTCAGCAACTAAAATACTTATGTCGACAGAGAAAACCAAAACAAAGTTCAGCTTTGGATTTTTAATGGTAAGCTGTGCTTCATTACCTGTTGTTTCTTGAAAATATTTCTAAGTGTGTTTGTAAAATGGAAATTTTTAGTGGGAAGCACAGTGGAACCTTCTGTCTATTGCACCTCTATATGGTGTCTTGTCAAAGGAATGAACTAATGCGATCTAACACTTTTTTGATAGTATTTTTCAGCTGAACAGTCAGTAATAGACAAACAGAGGCTTCCCAGCTTCAAATAAATTTGTAATTGAGGATTGGTTTTAGAGAACACACGAAGACTTTTGTATTTTTATTTCAAGGGCCTTTTATATTTGGATTGAGATGAGACTCTTGCCATCTCTGTTTTCCAAAGTTGGGGGTTAGTTTTTCTTTTACATGGAATAAGAGAAACAAACTTGAAATAAATCTGTGTAACAGATCATGAGGTTTCCAGCAGCTGTAAACAGACTTCGTTTTAGCACTTTTGGACATCATGATGGTTATGAAATCTAAATACATGTAAACTATTGCTCTACAAGTATTAACTATCAGACTATAATTTATCATTGTTTTCTGAGAGTATTGAGTTTAATTGATAGTAAATGGTGGTTTCTTCTCAATATCCTTCACTTCCTTCAACAGATAAAGTTATAGTATTATTATGCAATTATTTCACTGTTGATAAAATAACTGGACTATGTGTCCCCCACATTAAGTTCTTTTCCTGTTTTCTTTGGAAAACCTTTTTTCACTACCATCTTTTCCAACATTTCCAGACAGACTGCATGAGATACTGAATTTTCCTCTCTGCCATCCCTCCAAAGCCATCTGCCATTATTTATTACTTATTTCACCTTGCCAGAAAGAAGCTTTTTTTTGCGCAACTTACCTTGGATTGTTCTCTTCATAGTCGTTCTGCATTTTAGCTGGGAAAATTCGTAAAAAAAAAAAAAAAAAGAAGTTAAGGGGGAAAATGAGACATGCTATTTTAGAACACTTCAGATGATTGTCTCCACGGATATGCTTTTGATTTCATTTTAGAGAATACAATTGAGAGTTCTTGGCTTTCAGGGCCTTCAGTTGTCCTTCTACTTTTCTCAAATACTTTTGTCCAATACAAGTAGTGTTTGTGCTATGACCTTGTACTGTGGCTGCAATGTCTGCCTTAATTTACAATGCCCCAAAAATGTATTGTAACACCTGATTTGTTCCTTATTTCCTCCACCTTCTGCTTCGAACTCATCTTCCTCTCTGTGTGGGGAAGTGTGTCATGTATCTCTATTAAAAAGTGAAGGTTTATTTATTTTACTAGTTCTATTGCTTGTATCTCTGAGATATCGGGTGATCCTCACAGATGAAGAAATTGAAGCAGAGAGGCAATGGCTACAAAGAGATTTTTTGCTAGAGTTTGATTAATAACTCAAAATTGCCTGACTTTCTACCCTCTGCTCCAGGATTCCAGAATTTACCACAGATAGCTCCGATTCCATGCAGCATCAGTCAGTGTGACCTAAACCTTGGTCAAGGTTAGTTTTGTAAATGATTTTGATTTTTCCTCATAGAAATAGCTGCCCAGTAGCCCTAAAATACAAAATAAACCAAAAGGCCCCGAGCCACACACATCGCTACCCCCATGCCAAAATAATCCAGCACCTCTTTTAATATCCTGTAACAGTCTGATTCTCTTATGTTTGGTGAATTCAGTTTATAAGTATAGGCCTTCTGCTTATGTAGAATATAATGTATGTGTATTTAGCATGGTTGAAACCATCAGTGTTTGACTTCCCACCCACACATCATGGCACAGGTGCAGTTTTCCCTGTGTTGAGGGAATGGTGAGGATTGCACAGCTTACTAACTATAGAATTGTATGCCCTGGCATTATTAATTCTGTCAAAAAAGTCATAGTTAATTTCAACCAAAATGAGAGTCTGACTGTAGTCTCCTAACATAAACTAAACAAATTAGTTTCTTATTGTGAGTGACACATTGGTTTAAGAGCTACATTAGAATCCCATGATGAAAAGCAATTAGAATATTTTTCCAAAATACACTGATTAAGCACAAAATGTGTATGGAATCTGAAATTCAAATGAGCATTCAGGAATTTGGAGAGGAAAAAGTTTTCTCAAATGTAATTTTTAATCACTGCAGCTACTGAAGTAGAAATAATCACCAATTATAGGAAAAGTACACTTTTAAAAAAGGAAATTACAGGTATTAAAAATATACTTTAAAAATAACTTTAAGTTTCAAAACAATCAGTTCCTTGGTTTGAAATCTCTGAGTAGTGTGGGCTTTCCCCACAGACAAATTAAACATTGAAACTCCATTCCTTGCAAAGAGATATTACTTACCTTGCTTCTTTTTTATACAGTGTGAAATGTTCAGTGACAACGAAACAACCAGAGCCAAACTCAGAAAGGCCAAAACTCCCCAGACAGAAAAATGACAGTCCATTTCTGTAACTGAAAGAAAAGAATTTTAGAGTTTGTGTTGTCTAAGAGTTTTACTGTATTATTTGTGCTTGGTTGATTATTGCTTTCTGTAGTCGAATCTGCTACTTTGCTGTTTACTCTGTGGCAGCCATTGCTATACAAGCTAAATAATTAATATCAAAACCAAATGCTAAATGATAAGAAAGCAAGATCAACAGACTGTTAGCAGAACTACTGTTTTATAGGAATTTGCCAAAGGTCGGGCTATTGGTTTGCTTGTAAGATGCAGTAAAAATTAGAAATAATAAATAAAAGTCATTTTACTGAATAGCTTTGAAATTATTTCTGTAATTGTCTTTAACTTATTATTTGCAGTAAATTTTTGACTAAATTCTAGAGTTCATGAATGTAGGTCTGAATTCAGACAAAACGTCTCTGACTAATAGCTAAGACCATAAGGTTTTAACAATCCCTGTAAAAAATGTTAAAAGCTGGTTATGTTTTCTTGCATTGTTGTCTTGCTATTAAAACCATTTTCTTCCCTGAGAAAGCAGAGAAGGTGGTGATAAAGGATGACCAGCAGCTGGGAACCACAGAACTACTGCAGAGAAAAGCCCAAACAGCTTCTGGAATCACTTGGTAAAAGGTGAATTGAACAAAGTCTCCTTTCGCACTGAACTTGCCTCTCCTTGGAGTCCTGTTAGAAACACAGGAAAGGACATCCCTGCACCAAATCTGTTTTGTCACTTAATTAATTCTTCGATTAACCCAGCTCGTACAAATTTTCCATCACAAACCATACTGGAGAAAATAGCTTAGTTGTGACAGTCTAATGGCCGAAATGATCAGTTTTGTTGCAAATGGGCCAGCGAAACCCTTCCTTGCCAGAGGGAACACTGAGCCAAATACAGGAGTGCAAGGAGCTTGCAGCCAGATTCTTTGCTTTCCCCAGAGGCATGTTTTATGTTCTCCTAGATTTGGAGTGTTTGAAGTAAATCCCAAAACTAATGAACTCCTCTAATACTGCATTAAAAAGCTTAGCTGGAGCAGAGCAGTCAAGGGGAGGGATTGGGCGATACTGATCCTTAATGCAGCGAGTTGGTGGTGATATATCTGGATTCCTTCAGGAGTTTGGCATTTTGTTTGCTTCTTAAAGGAAAGCTGAGATAAAGGAGTACAGGAGTACACATTTCCATGCTGTCAGCCAGGGTGGGTGGCAATGCAGACACTTGCAGACAGAGCTTTGTTCCTTGGCTGACTGGCTCCAGCTCATCTAAGAACTTCTTACAGGTTTTGTTCCCTTATTATGTGGGTGTTGCAAAAGCACTTTTAGTATTGTTTTACTCCAAGCCTCAGATGTTTTTATGGTGATGAAACAAGGTAAGATGAAGCTTGGTAATAAAAAGTCACAAATCACATGGATGTGATGTTTTCCTTCCTGTTCAGAACTCTTCTAAAAGGAACAAAACAGAGCAAATAAGCTGTAACTTTCTGACAGAATTGTAACTGGTTTTTTGCACATGGTACTTCCAATGGCCATTTATCTTTCCTTTTAAACTAAACATCCAATTTCCATTTCTTTCTTTCCTCCCACTTGAGTTCTCCCAAAGGCATTTGAGGATTCTCCAACACTGCCACTACTACTTTTCATGTTGAGAGACACTTTTTTGCAATGAGATACAGACATTAATGAGGAGAGAAAACACCCCATGAAACAGCTGTATATTATTGCAATTTTTCAGAGAAGGAATTAAAAGAAAGGGAGATCCTACAATATTAGGCCACATCAAGAATTACCAGTGTTTGGAATCTAATTACTCTACAATTAGTCACTCAACATTTGCATCCTGTTCAACCTGTCTGAAACTGCAAATCTGTCAAAGGCAAGAAATTTCAAGACTCAGTGTTGTGCCCTACTGATCGGAGTCATCCTTCATTCTTGTCCTATTTTTTTATCTTTTCTGATGTGATTGTTTTCCATTTTTCTTATGTTCATTTCATATTTCTTTTCCCACAAACTCTTTCTAGGGAGCAAAAGCAGTATTGTGTCCTATGAGAAGGGAAGCACACATGATAGAAGCCACGAGTCTGTGATTCATTAGAATAAAAAGAGTAAGCAGATACCTAAAGCACAATTCCAATCTAATGTGGTTCCTTTTTCTTGATATGAAATGCTGCAATTTGTCTTTCTGATTCAGGAGTGCTATTTTTCCCTGGTGTTTCCAGAGCAGAAAGAGAACTCTTAGTTTCAATTTGAATATTTTCAAACCTTAACTGAAACGGAGGAGGAAACCCATTTTTTGATGACAAGTATTATTTTCCTGTTTCAGCTTCTGATTTAAATTGGAATTATTATCTGGAAAATAGTAAAGGTTGGAAAAAATGTTTCTATTTTCAGTTTTCAAGTTTAACTTCTATGTATCTGAACAATCCTACTTCTCTAGAACTTTAAAAACATTCTACAAAAACAGAAAGCATGAAAATTAGATTTCTGATAAAATATACCAATGTTTTGAATCTCACAATCTATAGTTCTTTCTTAAATGCCCCATGGGTGTGGGGAGATTAAGAAAACAACTTTTACATTTCTTCTTAGAGAAACACTACTTAGATTATTTTAAAATTTATTTTCCACAACTCTGATTTAAACATCTGCTTGTGTTTCAGCAGAATGGATACAAACATACATGTGATTTTAGTATCCTATTTTTAAAATTTTTTTGTCTTTGCAATGCAAACTATTTGTCAGACAACATTACTCTCTTGCAGAAACAACAGCAGTTTTCATTTACCTCATAAAACCATAGTAAAGGCCTTGATCAGTCATCAGGGTGCCCTATGAGCACTCTATGTCATTCTAAGATCAATTTCAAGTTAATCTTACTCTCCAGATACAAAATATGAGAAATCTTGATTTTATATCTTAGCTTTACAGATATATAACTCCCAGATCTTTCCTAGGTGTTCTTGTTCCTATAGTTGTTGCCAATATGCCAGCTATTTACATTTATAACTGAATTATTTAAATATTAACTGCTTTGGCAACAGCAGCAGTAGAAAGAAAGCTGAATGACTGTGTGAAGAATGATTTGTCTCCACAGATAACTACACTGCTGTCCTATACTTACAACAGCAGATGCAACCAGTCACAGTCACCTGGTTGTGCTAAAGACAAAAATAAGATAAGGAGACTGTGGATGGTGAGTGAGAAATAAACAGAACATCTATTCTACTAATTATATTCCATTCTGAAAGAGGAATTATTCTATTATTTAAATTCTCATTCAAGTCATCTATTCTCAAATGTAGCAAAACCAGATTATTATTATCTATAGATTATATAGTTATTCCAAAGAACACATGGCACCATTCAGGGCCATTCTCACTCAAGCCATCAAATGGAATATGTTTTTTAAAAATTCTAATATCTTTGTAAAATATGTTGTATGGAAAAATTAGGCTCCTGGGAGTAGTAAATTCTCATTCAAGTCATCTATTCTCAAATGTAGCAAAACCAGATTATTATTATCTATAGATTATATAGTTATTCCAAAGAACACATGGCACCATTCAGGGCCATTCTCACTCAAGCCATCAAATGGAATATGTTTTTTAAAAATTCTAATATCTTTGTAAAATATGTTGTATGGAAAAATTAGGCTCCTGGGAGTAGTACACTGATTCTAATAGCATAAGATCAAACTCCATCAGGGTTTTCTGCAATAGTCTGTCTGTGATGGGAAAACCTCAGAACGGTAGTAGTTTATTACCAGAAATAATATTGAAGCTATTCTTAAAGCAATGTGCTGCTCTGTGAAAGAAAACAGTTCATCACATAGCCAGAGGTTCCATGAGAGGTACAACAATTCTTGTTTTCTTGTTAGAAGAATCTGGGATGTATGAGTGGGGAAGTACTATATTTAATCATCATCCAGATGACTATATTTTGTGAAACTAACATCAGAATCTCTCTAGTATTAATGTTACATTCTTATGCTGCTGTTCTTCCATTTCTTTTTGGAAACTAGGTTAAACTTGGAGTCACATCTAAGTAGAACATCTGTCTTAGGTAATTTACTTCAATGGATGATGTATTTACTTTTCTGACTTTAGGGATGGGGTTACTCAGCTCCTCTTAGTATATTTTACGCTGCTATAAACTGGAGGTACCATATTCACACTGCAGAATACAGGCAAACAAAAGACTTCCTACATACATAGTTAATTGTGTTCTTTCTCTTTTTTAAATCTATTGACAGCTTTCTCCACAACAAGACATGGGTATTAATAGAGTTTTGGTTATTTGTTCTTAGGTTTTCTCCTCGCAGGGTTCATTATACTGTAATTGGAGGGAGTAGGAGGGAGAAGCAAACAAAAAAGTCCTACCAAACAAAAGCCTCTAAAACATTCTAATCTTTCCTGGAATAATTTCTGCAATTCAATATATTGCAGCTCAAAGGAGTGGATATAATCATGTACTTAACTTTGGAGAAAGGGGCCAGATTTAACAATTTGTGTCAGATGTTTATGTTAGATGTCTATTAACAACGACATATGAATTGGTAGCAGAAGTACTACATTTCATTCCTTCTTGTTCTAATGTATTTTGTTTAGAGAATCCATCACAAAGGATAACAGGACAATAGTACACTGCTACCAGGTTTTTGTGCTGAAAAGGAATGTGAGGTGAGGAACCTAGATATGATCTAGCTGGACATGCCATCTATGGTATTAACTCATCATTTGTAGAAGCAGATTAATCACTATCAGATTTAAGATGATGATCTGGAGCACAAAATGGTTTGCTCTCTGGTTTTGTCTGCAAATTTGTCAAAGATGAGACAAAACTATCTTTCCTCCCCCCCTCCAATTAAATGTTGAGATAAATAGTATTTTGTACTAATGACCCCTAGAAAAAGAAGCCCATTAAGAGACTGATGAATGTTAAATTAGCATTAAAGATGCTTCCACCTGTGTGAGCTTTTAATACAGGATTAATTCTCTGGAAAGGATTCCTTAAAC